CTCTCTCAGTATCTGTAAGGATAATCATGAAATGCAGAATAAGTATGTTAAGCTTCCTTTAGGCTTAGCATATCTATTCAATTCTTTAAAAACTCTGACCTCTAAAAGTTAAAAAATGTTTAGGGGGACTTCAGTCACATTTCTTCCAGTGACTGTACAATGATGTTGCTATGTCCCCTGCCGTCCTGGAGCCAACATAAAAGGAAGAGGAGGAGTAAGGGCAGTGAAACGTTTGTCCACCTTTTGTTAGACAACTGAACACTGCAAATCTCTTGTTTTCCTACTGTGGCAGTTATGAGTTAGATTTGCTGCTCTTAAGGGAGATAAAGATTTGATTAACATTATTTAGGTCCCAATGAAACAATGAAAAACCTCTAGCCACGCTTATTAGTAGCTCACTTAGAAGAAACCAAAACCAGGTGAATCAACGTCTAGATGGCATGAAGAGGATAACTCTTGTCAGTTTGGCATCTGCAAGATTAACCTGGGATCACAATTTACTGCAAGCAGCAACAGGCATGGAGTTGTGTTAATCGAAGATCTCCATGTCTCTGAAACCTGTTGTAGATGTATGGTATATCTGGGGGCTGTTCCTTCTGTTATTGACTGGATTTAATTCATTTGTTTTTGTCTTTCTCCTCCTCTTCTTCCAAATGCTTTAACTAACCTTCTGATTTAAACATCAATCCAGATTTGAGCCGAGGGCTCTGGATACATTTCAGAGTAATAAAACAGGAAAGGTGTTCCTTTCAGTTATTTATTTGCTTACTTACACATCTGTGTATATATATTTTAAGGAGGAAGCACTAAAATGCCAGCAACTTAGCTAAGAAGTATTCTTAGGAAACAGACTTAGCATTGTGAAGTAATAGATCATATCACCGCCACTGAACAACCACTTTCTTTCATTGGTTTCCCATTAGTGCACTCTTTCAGAAACAAACATTTACCTGTATGAATTTCAAGGATGTCTTTTGTTCTTGGAATATTTGTTTCCTTTTGTACTATTAGAAGAAGATGCATGTGTACCAAGTGATTGTTTCTGTCGGGTCAGAGGTTGGGATGTTTTTGTCACCCCCTCAACACCTCTGCAATAAGGTAACCTATTCACATCATCTAGACATTGATTCACCTGGTTTTGGTTTCTTCTAAGTGAGCTGCTGATAGTATGCCTAGGGATTTTTCATTGTCTCGTATCTGAGCAAGCTGCAGTTCAACAGGACGTTCAATTCATTTCGTATTTCAATAGGATGTTCACAGTTGCACAGCATTGAAATCGGTCCCAATGGATGTACACATCCTCAGGCACAAATGTACATATTGGTGCAGCAAGACTTTAAAACAATATGCGTAAGAAATTATGTGTTCTGTTTATTGTAACCACTTGGATCTAGAAAAGTGTATACAGTAGGTGGCCTAATGCATTTACATGAAGTGATGACTTCTGTCAAGTTTCTAGCTGGAAGTTTTCTGGCTACGATTATCAAGAACCATCAAGGGCAGTTCTACGAGTCCAAGGATACACTAGTCTCCTTTCTAGACTACAGACAATGCAGAATTCCCATATGTCTACCATACCATCTGAGTAGCTGTTTTATGCATTTTCTCAGGCTAAATAATAAAGTGCATGTAATCCCTCATGTTGTAGGATCAAACAAGTCCTCTCTCACCCTAGTTTAGAAAGAATTGACTCATGGGCAAACCTATTAAGCAATCATGTCAGGAATTTTAAGTATACCTCTGCATGTAAAGGTCAGAACACAATGAGTAAGATTGTAATGCAGATTTAACTGCATTCACAAATGTTTTTATACCTATAGAAAGAAGAATAGGCTATAATACAGTCCTATTCCTTCTGAACATAATGCTAAGACCCCAGTTGTCATTTTAGAAAAGAGCAAGTCATAGGATTATAGTGGGGGAAGGGACTATTTAAGTAATCAAATTCACTCCCTGATCAGAGAAGGAAACCATTAAAGCATTCCAGCCTCTGGTTGAACATACCCATTGAAGATATCATTGGTATCACTGTTGAAATGTTCTTACTATTAGGAAGCTATTGTAAGTCTAACATAAGTTGGAATCTGCCTTCCTAACTTAAAGTCATGATTCTGTGTCCTCTACTCTTGTGCAAGAGAGAATAGGCTTTGACCTCCTTCTCTATGATATCTTTTCAGGTGTTTGAAGAGTGTCATCATTTTCTTCCTTGGTCTTCTCAAGTCTTAATTTTCCCAGATCCATCAACCTTCATTGCCCTCTGAACCTGCTGCAATTTCTCTGAGTCCTTCTTAACTTAGGAGGTTGTTGAAAACTAAGTTCAAGAAAATCTGCTTAGTTTAATTCTAAGGTTTATGGCTCATTTCTAAGTTTTATGTCCTATCTTTCCTTTTCTCCAAATGCCATTGAAGCTGGCAAGCAATAATGAAAAAAAAAAAAAGATAGAAGCAGCATTGTAACTAAATATAATAAATCAATTAAAGAATGACTGAATGAATGAGAGAAATAAATAAAAAGAATGTAGCCAATTAATTAGAACCAATCTAAGCAGACAAACTAACTTATGCCTGTCTGAATCAAAATGTTGCCAGCTGTTTAAAACATTCTGCCTTTCAGGATACCTGAAAGGAGTATGGTGAAGGAAGGCTCTTTCATATTTCTGCCAAATGGGCCTTAATAGCGATGAGACCAAGAAAAGGGTTTCTTCCATGGATCCCAAAGCCTGGGAAGACGTGGTCTTTCAAACAGCTGAGACCCAACACATACAGGGTCATTGTTGGTGAAGTAATATTTCCAAGTGAAGATTTTGCTAGCAGTGATACATGAGTGGTTTACCACTGTCCTCTCCTGAGATTTTTTTTTTTTTACTTCCCAATCTAGCCTACAGCTCTGGGGATACCTAATGGTCTTCCATCCACGTACTATATAGGTGCAAGCCTGTTTAGCTTCTGAGTCCAGAAAGGTCAACCAGATGCTATCACCTGCTGAGGTCAAAACATTCCAACCTCAAATTAGCTGTTCTACCCCTTTGAAATGGACCATTCCAAGTCTCTGACCTTGAAATGAACCATTCTGAGCTCAAAAGTTGGAACCATCCATTTTGAAGTTGGGCCATTTCCTGTACATTCAAAACGCCCTTTGAAATGTTTTGCAAATCCCCTTAATGACCAGCATTCTGAATTCTGTCTGGAAGTGGATTAGCAGCCAGCAGAGTCATTTTAACAAAAAAAGTCATAAGGTCTGCATGATGGCCCCACTCAGGTCTGCATCATTTTGAATTACCGGATACTTGGAACATAAAAGCGCTCCATATAAAACAGGCTGGGATTTAGCTAAGGTATGTTTACTGTTATCAAAGTTGGTATCATTATAAAGGGGCACAGTTGGCAGATTAGCTCAGATGTGGGAAAGCACTCCTGGCCATTGCTGAAACCTGGATATTCAGAACTGGGTTTAGGAGGATGCTGGAATTGCAAACCTGAATTTTCAAGGAATGTATAATTTTATCCAGTGCAAGTTGCATTCATGTTTCCTAATTTTTCAAGTTCCTCATTCCCCCCCCCCCATTTTAGTCTATTAGTAATTAGGCCGCTGCACTGTCACCAAAACTTCCAGAAATGTGTTTTTCAAACAGAGCATCGATCAGTTCAAAATTCAAACAATATAAGTGTTGTGTTATAATTCTATAGTGTGGGGGTCATTTTCATAACCTATCAGTGTGAAAATGTCATTGTTATGGGAAAAGTTGTCACATTCCCTGGAAATACTCAGTACGTTCTTAAGGCTACTCTAATATGTTTCTGCTTCATGTACAATATGATTTATATCAACAAAACACAGGGAAAATGTCCTTTTGTGGTCTGGGTTCTCCTTCTGGAAAAAATCTTGGAGAATTCCAAAATTCTTGTGAAAACATTAAAAATCAGCTGATTGGAAGCAAAGTGGGATTCCACTACCATAAGCCACAATTCTTCTTTCAAATTGCTTTGGTGAGAATATGCATAAAAGCCTCCCCCCCCCCCGCCCCACTTAAACTAATTCACTAAAGATGCATTGGATTTTGCACAGCCAGAGAATGTCTGTTGACTCTTCCAACTCCAGTTTTATGATTCAGTTAAATCTAGGAATAAAGGTCTATCTGTGATTTCAGACCATGTGATCCATAGGCAGAGGGAATATCTAGAGAGTATGGCAAGATAGGCAAAGTCTAATGAATTACTTTTCATATACTGAATTTCATCCTTCATAATTACTGATAGTTGCTAACCATCTCTTAAGCAAGAAAGCATAAAATAAATTAGTAAGTTTCATTGAAATAAGCAAGAGTTTTGCTATAGTAGCTCCCTGCAGCATTCAGTAATTTCAGTGGGACATCTGCAAGAGTTTGCTTCCTTGGATTGGGTTAATTTAAGGGGAGAAGGACTTCATGCCAAGTTAAAAAACACACTCTTCATACTCCAGTGTCTATGTTTCATTACATACAGTACATTCTGAGTGAATCCACGTGTTATAAAGGATTTGTTAATAGGATTATTTTTTGTGAAATCTGGTATGGGGATAACTACCAATTTAGATTGCTTTAAAGAGGAACTAGATCGATTCATGGAAGATAGTTTTATCAGTGGTTACAAGCTGACTGATCGGGTTCTTCATCCTGAATCAAAGACAATGTGCCTTAAAAAATACAGTTGCTAAGGAGTAGCAGGGAAAGGATAAACTCATGCCCTCTTTGTGAGTCCATCCAGTACATCTAGTTGGCCCCATTCAATACAGACTGAGATAGCCCTTTGGCCTGTTCCAAGAAGGCTCTTCTTATGTTGCCATTTTAAGTCCCCTGACTCTTAACTGCAGTGCATTCTTTATACACGATGACCCTTTGTCACCTGGAGAACAATATGGAAAGGTATCTTACGACATCTGGCCCGTGTTTCTGTAAGATTTCAGTTCCCTGTTCAAGCATTGCTTTGATGATCTGACCTTACGTGCCCTACTGTCCTTTCCAGGTTCCCTGTTATTCCTACGGACAGAAGCTATCCAAATTGGCCATCCTCAGGATAGCATGTAACTATATCCTCTCCTTGGCTAGACTGGCAGACCTGGACTACAGCGCTGACCACAGTAACATGAGCTTCTCGGAATGTGTGGAGCAATGCACTAGGACCTTGCAAGCTGAAGGAAGGTCTAAAAAAAGGAAGGTATGTTTCAGATCCGAGGAGAAAACAGCCAGTTATAAATGAATGGGCAACACTTTCAGGTCTTTTACTTTATAAAGATTTGTTGCTGCTGCTGCTGTTTCATGGTTATCAGTTTCTTATCTTTAAGGCTTTTTCCCCCACTCTATGATTTATATTCTTTCACAGTTCCTCTACAGTCAGATTTTTTTTCCTTTTTGTTTTGAGCACATTCTTGTAGGTTTGAATAGCCTTGATGGAGTTATGCAGGTTTTAAGAATTAAAAACAGATCAAGAAATGCAGTCCTTCAGCTATGGTTTGGGTTTGCTTAATTTTTTCTTTCATTTTTTTTTTTAATTGGGAGGCATGGCACAGCTAAATATGTGTAGAATTCTGGTCTGCCATTGGTGACTTCTCAGGCTGGGGAGGGTGCCCTTTTTAACATCCTTCCATTCCCCATACTTGACTTGTTCACGTTCCTATCAGCAAAAGTTGGTAAGGAGGAGTATTTGCCAAGCTCCCAGCACCATCAAAACGCCCACTCCCAATAGCGCTGCTGCTTTTACTTTACATGGGGCACCTGGGCAAATGAGAGGAGTGAGAAAGATGTTTCCAGTTCCCCCACAACATCAGAAAAGGACCACCAGCTTGGCTGTGCAGGTACCAAAGTGTACTTCAAGGTCATCAGGATATTCCCTATCTAATTTAGCGTTCCTCACTGGGAGTTGTAGACCCAGTACATTTCTGAAACACACCAGGTTGCTGTTTCAGGTTGTTACCAGGTTGGGTAAGCTGAAGTAGTAAACAATAGATTGCCATCTTCAATCTGCAAAGATCACCCTGAAAAGCAACATGATGTTTTTCCACCTGGCAGAACTCCCTTAATGTTAACTAGTGCCTGCACTTCCTATCCAGTGCCAGTGCAGGTTCATAGGAAGCAGCAGAGGAAGACCATCCTGTCTTCTCCCAGCATCACAGTTGGCCCATTTTACTTTCCAGTCTACCATCTTGAAGCTGTTGCAGGTAGAAATCTGGGCTTCTGCCACTAGAGTGGCCTACAGCTTCCCAGCATGACAGTGGCTTTCTTTCTAATCAAAGAACTTGATCAGTGTGAGCCAGATTACGATATCTCATTGATTATTATTATTATCAGAATGACACAAGGGACTGTCTGTTTTCTGAAAACTAGCCGGGCTGTTGCCTCTCACTCATCTGGTGACTTGGCAGGGAGACCTCAGAGCAAGAAGCAACTGTGGTCTTTGCTTCTGGTGGTGGGAAAAGAGACATGAGGTAGAGCTGAGGTTCACATGAATTGCTCAGCAGACTTTCCTCCCACCTACGGTGCTGATAGGAGCTGATGATTAATCTGGTGAATCAAAACTAGGATGCTGCTCTTTATTACTCTTTTCCATCCTTCTTTGATCAAGGGAGATGCCTACAGTTTGCCTCTCCTCCCATTTGCAACCAAATCATAGATTTATACAAGGCCAAGACAGTTGGGGATGGGAGGATGAGGATGTTTAGATATACAGCCACCATCAAGATACTGTAATGAGACTGAAAGAACATGAAGGGATCTGGCAAGTATTTATTTTATTGGGTTTTTTTAAAACCCTCCTTTTCTCCTAGTGAGTCTAGGCAGTATGTATAAATCCTCTCCTTCCCTTTTTTTCTAATCTCCACAACAACCCTTTGAGGTAGCCATAGTAGGGAATAGGGGCTTGTAGGTCATCGCAACTCCATCTACTGCATTCTTTGCTTCAACCTTGAACCAATTACCTAAAGCCCTCATCAAGCCCAATTAAAGAGGAAACCAAGCATTCTGGTTGCTTTTTTCTCCTGGAAAGTGACATGGGTAAATTAGAAAACAGATTGATGCCACTACTGTTTTATGACAAAAGGAGAACAGTAAACTTCAAGTGAACTTCCTGTCTGCCTTCAGGACTCAGTCATGCTGGCTAATAAATCAGCTGGATTATGATGGAAGGATGGATAGATGGCCAAATTGAGGGCCACGTCTGTCTTCATTTTATCAAGGACAAACTGTTCTATTTATTTCTCCCAGCAAATAATGCTTCAGATTCCAGGTGATAAAATGGTTGAATGAAAAATAATGCCCCCATTTCCATAACTTTAGCTTAAATAGGGATATTTTAATAAATAAAACAAAGAAAGTAATCCTTGAAATCAGTTCTTTTGTTACCTGTGTTTACTTCTTTATGTAATCACCACCATTCGCTTCACATTTCGGCCGATGATGGACAAGCTTCCTAAAGGTGACACAAAAGAACCCTACATTTTGTCTCCTCAACTAGGTCCTGACAGCCCTTTCCACCATTTCATTTGAATCAAACAGATTCCTTCAAATTTGGAAAAAGGTGGAAGTTCTTAATGTCCCTGATGTCCATGCTGGTGTGGTCACTGACTTTGAGTCAGACATCCTAGAGAGTGA